AAACAAGGCAGAGAATGAGAGCTAATATTTGCTTCATTTCCTGTATCTCTGCTCATACACATGTATTCTCGTGCCTGTTTTCACACTCCGTGTGTGGCGACACAAACACTTTCATCTTTGTCATAGTCATGTGTTGCCATCACCCTTAAGTCATTCTCTGCAATATGGTTTTTAAGGGCTGCAGAACACTCGCTGTGTGGCTGTAGCACACAAAAATGTATCCTTGTCCTATCTCTGACTCTCTGGATGGTTGTCAATTTTCCCTCATATTGTAACGAATGGTGCAATCCATTATCTTTGCACATACTTTGGAAATGATTCTAAGTATTTTCTTATCATTTCTTGGGGCGAATGGGCCAAAGGGAGACATTTGAGAGACCCTTGCCTTGGGGGTGTCATGGCTATGCACTGGGGTGTGAACTGCAAGGTCAGTGGATGGAAACCACCAGCCACTCCTTGGGAGAAAGACAAAGCATTCTATCCCCATCAAGAGTTACAGTCTCTGAAACTCACGGAGGCAGTTCTACCCTGTCCTATAGGGCTGGAATGGACTCATTGGCAATGAGTTTGTTTTGCTGACATGTGGAGTTACATGGCCGAGAAAGGTGATTTTTACATCCAAGGAAAGTAGTCTGCGGCCTGGGGGCCAGAGGGAGAGGATCATGGGCCTCCATGAACCCCCTCCTTCTCCTATCTCTGTCTCTCCCTCTTCTCTTACACTGCCATTGCCGCTCACTGAGGGCCTCCTGTTTCATATGTCTGATTCCCTGAAATCTTGCTGCAACCCAACGAGATCAGGATGGCCATCATTCGGCATTCCAGATGAGGTGAACCCAACTCACAGAGGCTTGGTCCCTTGCCCAGACTCATCCCTTGTCACCCAGTAGTTGAACTGGGACTCATAGCTTATGCACTTCACCACTTGCCACAATGCCTCTTCTGTTCTTTTGGTCTCTTATCTATTCCTTCCTTCCTTGCTCTTTTCCTGCCTGCTTCGGCCACAGGCTTGAGACTGTGGCACATGGAAAGTATGTTGCTCCTGCTGATCGTGCTCAGGGCGACGGAGGGCTACTCCAAAGCAAAGGGGAAGGCAGGCCTGATCTCTGAGGAGAGCACCTACGATTCTCAACCATCTCTGGGTGATTTTCCCATTGAATTCGAGGCGGGGCTAGGGGTGAGTCAGAAGCTCCATGTGTCCAGGCAAGACCTTCTAACGTCGGTATCGTTCCCGCAAGCTGACTGTGTTGCTTGTCTTTGGAAGTCATCCTGGTCACCCAGGGTCTGAGTGACTGAGAGAAGGGAAGACCCTCGCCAGTCTTGGCGAGAGAGGTCCAGCTGGGATGTCTGCGTCACCTACCATCTGAGATGGGGGCCCAGGGCATGAGAGCAATTCTCAGACCCCTCCCTAAAGGTAGGCGTTGATGGTTTCTGTTTCAGCTCCATCTCTGGGGAGAGTCTCCTCCTCCACGGTGGCACTTGCCGTGGTCCTGTCTGTCCTGGCCCTTCTCCTCGTGGCAGGCACTTATCTCATCTGGAAGCAAAGAAGAACAAAAGGTAACTGGGTGGTGAGGGGGCCCAGGCTGGCAGGCGCTGGCCAGGGAGCCCAGGGCTGGAGCTTCTCTGGAGAGAGCCAAAGAGGAAGTAAGGGTGGACCTGACACTTATCCCTTGGATGGAGACCCGGCAAGTTGGCTGGGAGAAAACTGGTACAGCCATGCACTGGTCACTCACAGTGAAGAGGGAATTACAGAAACTGAGAGAGCTGTGTTCTGATCCTTTGAGCAAGAAGGAAATCACCCTTTCGATCTTGCCAGGCTCGGGAGCAAGATGAGGCTTTCTGCTCTTGTCTAGAGTTACCATCTTGGAAACCCACAGGGGCAGTTCTAGCCTGCCCTGAGAGTCAGAACCAACTGGATTGCAGAGAGTTTCATCTTACCAGTCAATGAGCCTGGTGGTGCATGGGTGAAGTGTAGGCCTGCTAACCACAAGGTTAGTGGTTCAAACCCACCAGTCCACTCTGCCGGAGCAATATGAGGCTGACTGGAACATATGTGACCTTTAAGGAGCTGTTCCACTCTGTCTTCTATGGTTGCTATGAGTCAGAATTGACTTGATGGCAGTGGGTTTGGTTTTGATTTGTCATGCCAGTCATCTAATGAATTAAGAAATCCAATGACATCAATTGAATAAAACCCTCATAAATATATTTGAATTTCACAGCATCTTAGGTTTGGAAAGGGCCTTGAAAGGCACGTGACCCAATATTCCTTCCCCAGTCTTACAATTTGGAGGCTCTCTAATTCTCTCAAAGAAGTCCCTGGTAGCTCAGATGGTTAGTGGTCATCCCTGATAGCTCAGATGGTTAGTGTCCGTCCCTGGTAGCTCAGATGGTTAGTGCCCGGCTGCTAACTTGGGATTGGTGACTCAAATGCACCCAGAGGTGCCTTGGAAGAAAGGCCTGGTCATGCACTTCCAAAATGACCTGGTCATTAGACCCGCGTGGAGCACAGGTCTATTCGGCACACGTGGATCCGTAGGCGTCAGAGCTGCCCTTCCAGCAGCGGGGAGCTGGCAATCCTTGCGAATGCTCCCATCGCTGCAGGGATGCAGAGCAAGTCCTCCTCATGCAGCTGTGACTCTCTGGGCTTTACCTCTACCTGGACAATTCTACCCTTCCTTAAAGTGAGCTGACATCTCTCTCTCTCCCCCCTGCTTCCAGAGAAGCTTCTTTATGAACAGGCGATGGAGGTAGGTAAGTGTCCTGGGCTGGGTGAGAACATTTCTCTGTTTAGCTCACTTCTGTATTCTTAATGCTCACTTACCTAAGTCCTGTACCTGATTTAATTCTAACCTCTGCTGTCTTTGGTAGTGGAGTTAAGGGTTTAAATATGTTCTTTACAGTTTGGCGACTCTTGCTTGTAAATGCTTGCCTTCCAGCATGCTTGGTGAGTTTTTGAGTTTGTGCTCATTGCTTGACCTTATTCTGTGAGACTTATGAAGATCTGATGTGGGGAACGTTGTTATTCATTCAACAAATAGTTGATCATTGTCTACTGAATGCCCCTGATCCCATGAGGTGCTGGGATGACAATGGTCAGTCCAAATGAAAGTCTTTGTCCCCTGGAGCTTTCTGCCTGGCCAGGAAGGTATGTAGAAATTAAATAACAAACAAATGTAGAACTTCAAGTATGATAAGTACCAGGAATGGAAATCCAGAGTCCTTTTGGCATAATGTAGTGTTGATACATTGGGCTGCGATCCAAAAGGTCTGTAGTTCAAAACCACCAGCAGCTCCTTTGGAGAAAGATGAGGCTTTCTACTTCTATGAAGACGTGCAGTCTCAGAAACTTACAGGGGCAGTTCTACGCTGTCCTATAGTGTCGCTATGTGTGTTAGTCTGGGTTGACTAGAGAAACAAATTCATAGACACTCATATGTGTATAACAAAGAGCTTTCTATAAAAGAGCATTTGTATATTAAGAAAACATTCCAGCCCAGTCCAGATCAAGTCCATAAGTCTGATATTAGCCCATATGTCTGATACTAGTCCATAAATTCCTCTTTAGACTCATGCAGCACATGCAGTGATGCTAAATGCTGGAAGACCACAGGCCAGTAGGTAGAAAGTCTTGTGGATCCAGTGGCAGTGGAAGCATCTCAACGCTGGCACGGTTCTCCACATGTCTGCTCCAGCTCTATGAGTGTCTAAATAGCAGGAAGGGGAAGGCAGAGAGTGGGTTTGCCTTCAGTGAGCTATTTATCCCCATTGAGCCTCCAAATGAGGTCATCAAACTTCGACCTGATTGACAGTAAACTCAGCAGGAGATTATGTAACTGCCACACGCTGAGTCCGCGTTGACTCAATGACAGTGTGTTTGGGTTAGTGCTTGGTATGGAAACTATGACCAAGAAAATCCAATCAAGTTTGACGGACCAAGAGGACTTCCTACAGGAAGTGGGCTTGAACTGAAGGATGGGCAGGCATGATTGACTGGAAGAGGGAACAGAAAGCCATGTGCAGCAGAGAGGGAAGCTTGCGTAAAGAAATGTGGCCAGGACAGAGCAGTGCTTATTCGAGGAGTTGAAAAGGTGCTCTGGTGGGGAGGCTGGGAGTTAGGCAGAGAGAGGCTAGACCATCTGAATCCCTGGGTGGTGCAAAGGGTTAACACCCTCTACTGTTATAGGAAGAGAGGAAAATTCGAATCTAACCAGATTTGAAGGAAAGGGCTGACAATCTACTTGTGAAAAATCAGTCAGCAAAAAACGCTCTTCTAACACCCGTGAGGCTGCCAGGACAAGATCGACCGAATGGCCGCTGGCGTGAGCCCGTGAGAGCTTTGTCAGTCTTGCTAACGATTTCAGCTCTTTACCTACAAGCAGTGGCAAAGCACTGATGGTCAGAGTTGTGCTCCGAGGAACGCTTTCTCTCTGGCTTTCGTGTTGGGACGACCCGAGAACAAGAGAGGGCTGAGAGGACACTGCAGAGGGCATTGCTGGCCTCCAGAGCCCAGGGGGAGGGGGCAGAATAGCACAAGAGGACAGGCTGGAAAGCAGGTCCCGGCAGTGGGAATGAGGGACTCGCCAGGCACCACCGGAGGGTCTCATGTTCTTCCTCTTTCCTTCTTTTAGAGAATCTTCTCTCGGATCATGCAAAAGAAAAAGGTAACTATCTGTCTAGAGCTAGGGCCTGGGGACAAATGACACATGTTTTCCTCCTCCTCCATAAACGACAAGTCTCTTATTAAATACACATTTTAGATATATTCATGGAAACACTCTATTATCTTTTCATTCCACGTTTCCATGAACTTCTTGAATGCCCCTCCATTAAGATGGTCATTCCAGGTGGTGCAGGTGGCTAATCTGGCTAGCTGAAAGGAGGGAGGTACAAACCTATCCAGCGGCCCCTTGGAAGACCGGGTGGTCTGATTCTGGAAAGGTCCCAGCCTAGACCACCCTAGTGAGCTGCTCTTCTCTGCACACAGAGGGTTCAACTCGGCAGCCACTAACCATCCCTAGCATTAATAATCACGGGGGTTAGTTTCTAATGGCCAAGAGCCATGGGGCAGGTGGCAGAGGAAGCAGGATGCCCAGGGCCAAAGGTAAAGCTCTGGAAGATGCCCAGTCCCCTCCATCAACCTTTCCATGAATGATCTCCAAAGCAGGTCCATAAGCTATTTTGAAAAAGATATTCATATGACAGTATGGTGCACACGATCCTCTCTCGGGGCTCCAGTCCTCTGCATGGAGAGAAGGGGCATGGTGCAGCGGCGGGCTCCCAGCCCTGGATGAGCAGCACCTGGCTCCGGGCCCAGCTCTGCCTGCCAGTTACTGGCACTTCACCACCTGAGCCCCAGGTGCCTCATCCGTAAACCAGAGATAAGGAATCCTTGCCCATGACTGTTGTTTGAATATCAAAAAGGACAACCTTTCATGAACTCCTATCCCCTGGCCTGGAGCAGAGAGGCCTCTTTTTCATCATCACCCATTAAATGTTTGCTCTGGGCCACTTGGGGGAGGATGGAGGCCATGGTTGTGAGACAGCAGCAGGGCTTCTGTCCTTTGAAGTCTCGCTAGGAAGACAGTCATTGGCTCTCAAGTGGCGCTCTGTGATTTCCACATCTCCCCCTTCCTCAAGCTGGTGAATGTGTGGCGTGCACACCGCAGGGACCCTAGGGCTATTCTGTCCAAGAGCAGGAGGTCAGGTGTTGTGATATGGCCTCCGACTCAGGAGTCGGACAGACTTGAGTTTAAATCCTGCCTCGTTGGCCACTTCCTAGCTGGATGGTCGTGGGCAAATTTCCATGTTCCTCTGAGCCCCAGACTCCCCTCTCTGTAAAATAAGTGTGTGAGACAATTCGGCACCTCGCTCATTATCAAACCAAGCTCCTTGCCACCGAGTTGATGCAAATCCATAGGTTGGAATCCCTTCTCACTTCAGGTTCGAGCGCTCTTATTAAAATCTGTGCTTCTGCCAGATGTACCAGGGTATACACAAAAGATGGCACAATTTCTTAGAGCAAGAATTGTCCTTAAAAATAGCTTGAGGGAAATGCTGTACTTAACATTGTTTTATATGAAAGCCAACAATAGTATGCTTTGGAGCAGAATTCAATATCGTCATGACTTTTAAGATAAAACGCACCCTAAAGAAACACACCCTATGTTTATACGAGATGGCCATGCGATCCATATGCTCTAGAGTCCATCCTCCCCCCCCCCCCCCCGTTCATCATTACTGTTGGTGGTTCTTGGGAGATGAGGTTTGAAAACGTAAAGTAGTACATGCCAATACCTTGCACAGTGCCCGCGGGAAATGTTGGATACATGGCAGCCATTGTTATTGACATAATAATGACCATCATGATTGAATGACTATAGATGCTAAACCAGCTGTAGGAGTCCTGGTGGCGCAGTGGTTAAGCGCTCAGCTGATACCAGAGAGGTCTGTGGTCACACCCACCAGCTGCTCCAGGAGAGAAAAGACCAGGCAACCTGCTTCCTTAAAGGGTCCGCTCTCTCCCACTCACAGCCACCCTGTAGGACAGGGCAGAACTGTCCCTGGGGGTTCTGAGGCTGTAGCTCTTTACTGGAGTGGAAAATCTTGTCTTTCTCCTGCAGAGTGACTGGTGGCTTTGAATTGCTGACTTTGTAGTTGGTAACATAACCACTACTCCACTAGTGCTCCCCGTGGGGCAGTTCTACTCTTTCCTATGGGGTTCCCGTGAGTCAGAATCCACTCAGTGGCACACGGCACTGGCATACACTAACTGTGGCTTATGAAACGGCAGCAAAGAACAGGCTCAGGCGCATCCGGGTACCCACCACACAGAGGAAAGGAAAGGAAACCAGACAGACAAAAAGGAAGGGAAGAGGAAGGAAGACGCCAAGTCCTGGGCAGCCAGGATCATCAGCAAAGTGGTCCCAAATGGGAGGCTGGAGGTCAGACCTGCAGGCGATGTGACTGATGGAGAGTCCCCTTCCTTTCCGTCTCCTAGATGCCAGGATGAGCCCTCTTGCCGGGGCGCTTGCTCACATCCCTCTCTCTCTCTCTCTCTCTCTCTCTTCTCCTTCCAGGAAGACTCCACAAAGGCCTCAGTAAGTCCCGTTCTCACGATGCACAGTCCTCTGTAGGCGTCCTCGCCTGCCTCAGGATAAGGGCCCGTTTCACTGAGATGCTCTGCCCAGGACAGAAGGGAGGAGGCAAGGGTACTTCAAGCCAGAAGAATGGGGAGTGTGTGTGTGTGTGTGTGTGTGTGTGTGTGTGTGTGTGTGTGTGTGTCTTAAGGACCTCTTTCCTCAAGTATCTCCTGCTTCTCTTTCTTATACAACTATTATTTCCTTCAAAATAAGATTATATGTGTGTGTGTGTGTGTGTGTGTGTGTCAAAAAGAGGTGTAGCTTTCATAAGTGAGGCCAATCTGGAAGTCCCCTTTCATACTCAGCCATGGCATTCCCTCAGCTGGCTGGATCCTCATTAAACTGAGGTGTGGGGTCATACTTCCCCATTTCATGTAAAGGACTCTCTTCTGTAACATTAGAGGTCTGCAGGCCAGTGCCATGCCTATTTTAATTTACATTGAGAACAGTTACATAACAAAAGTGCGTAGGAAAGTAGCCACAGAGCCCCTGGGTGGTGCAAAGGGTATTCAACTGGCTGTTTGGACCCACCCGAGGGTGCCTTAGAAGACAGGAGCCGCGGAGATCTGCTTCGCAAAAGGCCATGTTTTATTGGATTGCTACACTGCACACTCAAGGCGGCAAGATCAACTTGTGCCAACTCACAATGGCAGCACGTATGCACAGCATGGGAAATGTAATAGATGTCCCTGAATTGCACATATAGCAATGGTTAAAATGGCACCTGTCTTGTTGATTTTACCACAATTTAAAAAATCAAATAGGAATTCAGGAATAGCTTAGAATAAACTTCTGTTTCATGCACCCTCCCCTCTGCCTGCACTCACAGACTCATTAGGTCTGCATGGAGACAGGTTAGAGCGTCAGTGTGCAGTCAGGGCTGGGCTCACAGTGGGATGTATCAACTGTGTGGTAAGTAACTGGGGACCCATGGTCCATACTAGACCAGGGACATTGTGGGACCTTGCTAGTGAGTGTAGTCAGGATGGCACTGTGACATTATGTGAATCTAGAAGCCCATATTCTGATTTGTCCAACTGTTTTTATTCTCCAGAGAAACTCCGGAGTGAACTGAGTAAGTTTCCTATGTTCTTATCTTATCTTCCATTCCGACTTACCTCCCATTTGTCAGGGTAGCCAGCCTTTAGCAGATCATCATGGGTCCAGTAGGCACAATTGTACCGCGATAATAAGTAAAGATTATAGTAAAGTCATAGAGAGCATGAGAGATAGAAGAGAGATTGAAATAATGGAGTCAGACACAGTTCCTGGTAGCATGCTCACCTCAGCCTCACTTGGTGGTTCACGTGGAAAGAGATATTTATTGTTAACCAAGGCTTTTCTGTTCTCTGGGGACGTGCAAGCCCCCTAATTACAGGTGAGGACACGTCACAGGAAAGGCTTGTGCTATAGGTAATAAGTAATGGGAGAGGGGTGATCTAGGGGTATACATGCAATAGGAAGAGGAGGGATTGGGGGTACACATGTGACAAGATGGGCGGATCCTAGATTCAGGATGGCAGCCTAACTTTGGATGTCACTGAGCCGGTTTGACCTGTTCCCTGACTCACTATAGAAGCCATTATCAGTAGGGTGTAAGCCTCATCTCAGGGACCAGACTGATGGCCGCAAGCCTTTAGGGAGAAGTAGCCCACTGTCCCTAACAGCAGGGAGTAGGGCCTACCTGTGGTGGGACCAGACAGTAGTCTGGCAACGACTGCCTTCAGGGAGGTAACTTGACAATCATTTCCCATTAGCTGCAAAGCAGTGTCCTAAGTCTAACATATGTTTGGGGGGGACGACTTGGGAGAAATCTTTCTGTCTCCCGCACCCATTGACCCTGTATTTCCGGTGATCGGGAGCTCATCCCCGCTTTCTTCTTTTATAGAGTTGAAGAGAGCTGCAGCAAACTCAGGTGAGGTGCCTTTTAAAAATTATTTTTATAAATCTATAGAGTTTCATTAAAATACAAATCGACAGGGGCGTATGACATATACGTTTAAACCAAGTTTTCACAGGAATCTGACACTTGCCTAAAACATTTACGATGTAACTTTAGATGCAATTTATCAAGAACTCATCTAATGATGAATCTCATGATTCAAGACAAAGCTTTTGGTTATCGGTTAATTCTTTATTATTATTATTATTATTATTATTATTATTATGTGAGCCACCAACCCAGTGTGAAAGTTTCCCCCTGAGAATAGGGCTTTTAAAATCTTAACACCCTTGAATTGATTCAAGGAAATTTGGGCGGTTGGTGATTGAACTCTGATGCCAATGGTGGTGAAATGCCTTTTACCCCGCGCCTGGCCTGACCCCCAGCACTGGGGTTTTTCCATTTCTCCATGGCTGTAACCCCGCCCCTTTATGCCTTTCAGGCTGGAGAAGGGCCCGCCTGCACTTCGGTAAGTCCCTCAAACCGCCCTGGTGGGTGTCCCACGAAGCTCTGCAGCTGCAGTGTCTACTCCGTGCCTTTGGAATACGGGGTCAGCTTGTTACCAACTCTACCGCAAGGGTTTGGATTTGGAGTTTGGAGGGGGAATCACATTTAGATTTAGAAAGGCTTTGAACACAGAGATTGGTTTGATTTTCTTATGGTTTTTCTCTAGTCTGATATTTGACATTTTTCGTTAAATGAATTGGCTATTTCTATTTCTTTTTATGAATTGTCTGCAGGGGTCCTATTCTGGCTACTTTTATTGGTGAAGGCTCTTTCCATATGAAGTATATTAACTAATGATTTTCCTGATTATCCAATCTTTATTGTGTTTTTGTAAGTGCTTGCTTTGTGTGATCAATCTTTTGAGCACACTCATCTTTTCCTCTGTGATCTCGTCCATGCCTTCATATTCAGGGAAACTTTCCCATCCCAAGATTGGATAGCTGGCCACTACTCCTGCCTCTTTTTACCCATCGGCCACACTCTCTTTGTTGACAGGCCGGTTTTCTTGGCGAGGGGGGCGCAGTCTCAAAGATGAAGGCATTGAGTTAGAGGCCTTAACAATGTTGATAGTCCCATAAAGGTTTTTGGTTTATTCTGAAAGATTTGCATTTTTTTTATTTATTCCTAAGGAATTTATGGGTTTTTCCGCTGCTGTTAGCATGATATCTGTTTGTTGTGGTTGTTGTTGTTGTTTTTAACTCTCGGAGAGTCTTTATCAATTTTCCGGGCTGTGCATCTTCTTCCCGTTCACACTCTCTCCCTGCAGACTGGGTGCAACAGGACTGATTCACTGGTCACTTGAGAGATGCAGGTCAGAATGATTAGCAGGTCACTTGGGCTACCTGGGCATTCCAGGAACCGCCATTCACAAGCCTGTCTGCCTCACCTCCACCGGCTGGCCACTCCTGGTACCTCCAACAAACACAGACTTCCTCCTTTCACTCGCCAACCAGAAGAATAACTTATTTCCCAGATTTGGGGTGGGGGGGCACACTGTGATCCCTATAATACACATATTAAAGGAAAAAATCCTTCTCTCTACACTATCTTAAAATGACCATTATAAGCCATAATTTTAGCCCACAATACTCGTTTTATGAACCGGCCACTGTTCACCGCATTAGCGCATCAAATCCACACAACAGCTCTTGTACTGTAGGTGCGGGTATTAACCCTTTTTAAGGTGGAGGATACTAAGGGAGAGAGGAGGAACTTGCCCAAGGTCACATAACTAGCTAGTAGTGGCCAACCAGAGTCTGATATCCAAGCCTGTGCTTACCGTCACCGTGTTAAGTTCCTTTGGACAACAGAAGGCAAAGGCAGCACTTCCTCCGGATTAAGACAGCCTTGCAGACACACCATTCTTTGGTTTTAGTGTTCTGCCCGTACCTCTGTGTGGGGGGGACCCATGAACCCAAATGGACCACTGAGAGTCGTTTTAGACCTAAGCCTCACCCCTCACCCCTCTGTGACTCACTCTCCGCAGTGGCCGTGACCCTAGACCCGGACACAGCGCATCCCAAACTGGTCCTGTCGGCGGACAGGAGGTGTGTGCGGCTCGGAGAGCGAAGGCAGCCGGTGGCCGACAACCCGCAGAGATTTGACTTCGTTGTCAGCGTGCTGGGCTCCGAGCGCTTCACGGCCGGCTGCCATTACTGGGAGGTGGGTGTGCAAGACAAGACCAAGTGGATCCTGGGGGTGTGCAGCGAGTCGGTGAGCAGGAAGGGGAAGGTCACCGCCTCACCCTCCAACGGACACTGGCTGGTGCGGCAGAGTCAGGGCACCCAGTACGAGGCGCTCACGTCCCCGCAGACCTCCTTCCGCCTGAAAGAGCCCCCGCGGTGCATAGGCATCTTCTTGGACTACGATGCCGGCGTCCTCTCCTTCTTCAACGTGACCGACAGATCCCACCTCTTCACCTTCACGCATGCTTTCTCGGGCCCTCTGCGTCCTTTCTTTGAGCCTTGCCTGCACGATGGAGGGAAAAACACGGCACCTCTGGTCATTTGTTCCGAACTCCAGACATCAGAGGAGCCCAAAGGAAAAGGCCATGCGAATGGAGACGTGTCCCTTAAGGTGGACCCTTCCTTACTGCCCCCTCAAGCCGCAGAGCCCTTTCCATTCCGGGATGTGGTGCTGCCCTGGCCCTCTGACCTCGGACCTGCCCTGCAGGGGCTCAGGGCACCATTCCTTTAGGAACATGCCTCAGGTCCTGCTCCCTACCTACACAGCCCAGACCCAGGCCCTGGGTTGCAGGGACGGGGCCCAATGGAGGATTCTGGAACGTCTCATCTCTGTACCTCACACCCAGACCCTTTATGGTGTTTTCTGGTGAGCCACCCTTCTCTCAGGACTTACTTTAGCGCCCCTCCTTCCTTCTGAGGGCCACAGGAGAATTCTGGAAGCTCAAATGCAGAAGGGTCTGAGTGGAGAGGTTGAATGGGGGTCCCTGAGCTGCAGCCCTGGCTCAAGGGAATGGGTGCTCTCTCACAGAGAACTTCTCTCTACCTCATCCTACACTTCGGCTTTAGCCCTGGACTGCTCCTTACCCTGCTTTTTACTTCTCCCTTCAAGGACCGTCTGCCCTCCTCTCAGTAGTTGCCATGGCTTCTCGCGCTCCCATTTCAGGAGAACAGTGCTCCACAGGGCTGTCAACGGCTGACTGGGGGAAGGACACTGCCAAGGTTCTTCTGGGTGGCCTTGAACTATCAACCCCAGTATGTTATCCATTTGTCCCACCCACAGCTAATGCCATGTTTTCAATAGCCACTCTACCCACCATGGATCACCATGCACCGGGATTTAAAATGAGGAATCCAGACTCCTTCAGAGCCTCAGGAGCACAGTGGGAGTTGGGAAGGACAATTTCACAAAGGGCAGCTCCATTGCTTGTGGCCCTGAAAAGCAGTGGCAGATGAGTCGCCCTGGCCTGCCGGCCTTTCCACACAAAGGCTTCAGGCCTCTGGAGATTCAGGGAGGCCCAGCCAGAAAAAGTGACAGTTTTACCTGCCAACGTAGGCGCCGCTTTCACAAGGTTTTATTTGTCTTGTAAGCAGCCTCTTAGGTCGACAGTTTTGATGTCAAATAAGAAGTCGTAAAACGGGAATGAGGAGACAGTAATGAGCCTGACTTTTTTTGGTGTGGCTTGCTGAAAGAAAGCTCGTACCTTCAAACTCACACCACGTATTCACCTGGCCTGCTTGCATTGCAGCTTACTAGCCATCTGCGTGCAGAAGGGAACGCAGTTCTACCCACGGGAAGCTAGTTCTTCCTCTGTGTCAGAATGCTCTGTCAGTGCTCGAGCGCAGTGTGGGCTTGTTGTTGCTTTTGTACAGCTCTTAAATAAAAGCTTGGTATCTCGTTGTTTGACATGCTGTGATTTTCCTTGTGAATGAAAAGTAGTGAAGGAAGACGTGGGGCTGTGAAGAGAAAAACATGGAATTGGTTGCCAAACTGCCTCGAGTCTACCCAAGCATGCTTGAACCACAGTTAATAACCCCACAGTTTTATTCCTCAGAGTGCCTTCTCAGTAGTACATTTATGTCAACATATAAACGAATAATGTACCTGCTGTTATTAGGTGTCGTGGAATTGGTTGTGACCCAAGGTACCCCAGAATGAAACGCTGCCAGGTCCTGCACCATTCTCCCAGTCGCTGCCGTGGCTGAGCCAGCCCACTGTGGTGGCCACTAATAATGGACATGAGATATGTATCATTTCTCTCACTTATAGTCCATTTGAAATCTACTTTCCTGAAGATACCAATTTTAAAACCAACTCACGTTGTTCACACTCAGCTCACCCAGTGAGAGAACGTACCAGCAGGAATGAGGACTAATGTTTGTGGAGACAGAGGTATTACAAAGGTTCTCTCATTTAATCCTTACTATTCTACTGGGGATTTATAGAGGAGGAAGATGGTACTCTAAATGACTACATGATTGAGTGGGGATTATGAGCCTGGTTTTTCTACCGCTAAAGGGAATGCTGTTTGCTCTGCACTGAAATGGCATGCAGATAGGAGACACATGTACAAGTCTAACCTACACAATCAATTCGCCTTAAAAAAATTAAACTGGAAAATAAAATCCTAACCCCAGAGAGATTTTAGTGGTCATATTATGTCTGGTTTAATACACAAGTGGTAGGTTAACTAGGGCCAGCCCAGAAAATGCCTACATAGGGGCCTTGGGAAAATTGGATGCGCTTTTTTGGATCCTGCACACACAGGTTCATTGAATGACAAGATTGATTAGCTTAATTTATCTTTCCATTTCTATCCAGTTTGACAATTTGAATGTTTAAAATTATAAGCCTCGGTTCTCTCTGATGGCAAAGTCTGGAGATAATGTGAGGCGTTGGCACATTTCCTTCTCCAAGGGGAAGGAAAGGGAGCAAGAGCAGGTCTTCAGGTGTCTGGGAGGATTTTTTTCTGTGTTGCTACTTTTTTTTTTTTTTGCATCCTTCAAGGACCCCTTTGTCCATGTCACTGATCTCTGGCAAGGACACCATCCCCCCTGTTACTAGTGAGGCTGCACATGAAGGCTGACCAAGATGAATCTTCATCGTATACTGCCACGTTGGCGGCCCAGGATGTGGTCCAGAGGTGCAGGAAGCCAGACATTAGTGCCCTGCCCATCAAACTCTGGGCCACGGTGGGGGGGGATTAGACCCCTGAGAGTAGGAGTAGGAGCCGGTCAATCCTCAGAGCCCTTGATCTGAGGTGGGGTGGGTTAGGGTGTGACCTCTATACCTTTCCACATCACCCATCGGCCTCTACAAATGACTGCTTTCCAATCATCTTCTTGTAAGCCGAACCAAATACATTCATTATACACTTTTTTTGTGAGATGCACCATGCCAAGTTTTGCTGTATATTAGGATAGTCAAGGGTCACCAATGCCAACGAAAGCAGAAACGTGTGTCTTCCTGACACCTTGAAGCTTAGCTTTACATATTCTGCAAGTTCCGAGGCATGTGGTTCCGCACTGGGTGGTCTGGACGGAAAACCTGAGCGCGCAAGCAACTCGAAAGCCCTTGAAAGGGAATCGGATCGCCCGCGTTTGGTTCTAAACTTTATACATTTCTTCTCTCAAAACTACTACTCCCAGCGTGCCACGAGAGAGGCCAGAGCTGATTGGTAGTTCCGTCTGGCAGTTTGATTTATGACAACCATCCCAGCCAATGAAAATGAAGAATCAGCTGCTGAAGCCAATCCCGGAGACGTAGGGCGGATCCCCCCTGAGTTCCGTCTCCGGCTCCTTCCGAGGCCGACCGCAGCTGCCCTGTCCCTGGCGGAGCGGCGGGAGCGAGGTGGGTCTGGGGGCGGCCCGAGGTCGTGGGTCTGGGGGAGGCGCACAGGGCTTGGCAGAGAACGCTGAGCACGGCCCTTTGCCTTCCCACAGAGGAGTTGGAGGCGGTTGCTTTGCTCCCCGGACCCAACGGGGAGCAAACGGGGGTCTGTGGCCCCTCCATCTCCACCCGAGCCCCTCTTTGAGGCCCTCACGGCTCGTCCGCCGTTCGGGGCCTCTGTCCGCGGGCGCTTCTCCAGCGGGCCGTTGAGTACCCCAGGCCTCTTGCCACTGACCATCCCTTTGGGGTCTGCCTCACCTCGCCACCCCTCCCTCACAAGCCCGCTTGCATTTCAGCACGCAGTTTCTGCCCTCTAGGGCCCAGTACCCTTGGACTCCGCTATGGATTTTTCCTGCCCCCAATATACAGCCTCTGCTCTGGGTCTCCGACTCCATGGCCCTCCCCGATCTCCTACCGACCCGACACCCAGCTCCCCTGGCCTCTCCAGGCGGTCCCTCTCCTGATCCCGTTACCCAGCCCTGCACGTGGGCCTAGAGACCCCGAACTTTGGCCCTTGGAGTCTCCTTCCCCTCCCGCTAATCCAGACCCCCAGCCTTCATCATCTGTGCTCTGTATCCCCATCGTCTTGGCTCCTAAACCTGGCACCTTTGCCCCTTGAAGCCCTCCCCCCGCCCCCAGATCAGAAATGTGATAGGGCAGTGCCTCTATTTTAGCTGCCACAGCCCTCTCAGTACTCAGTGGACAGGGACCCTCGGTCTGCAACTCAGTCTTGCTCAACCCCTCACCCCCACCCCCACCCCATGAGTACCAGCTCGGGTGCTGCCTCTTCCATAAGCTGCCCACCCTGATCTTATCTGGGAATTAAAAAAATCTGTCTGTCTGTCTAGCTACCTATCATCTATCTCTCTCTTCCTTCCGCTACCCCCCACCCCCTCCCATACTAGTCTAGGGGTGAAGAGGACTGCCCAGTTTTCCCTTGAGCAAGTTTCATGATTTCTGAGTCTCCGTTTTCTTGTCTCTAAAATGTGGATGATTTTAGAGACGAAATGAGATGATTCACATGTAGTGCTTAGTCCAGGATCTAGCACTTGGTAAAGAGCTTAAACAAGATGTTAATTATTATTATCTGTGTCTGTGTAATGTGCTAGGCACTGAGGGGTGGGTACAAAGGTCATGAAGAATAAGAACACAGTCTCTATCCCATGGACACTTAACTTACTATACTCGACGGCAGTTTTTGGGGTTGGGGGCTTGTATCATGCACCAGACGATAGACTGTTTAAGGAGGGGCACCATAATCCTGAATCTTTTTGCTTCGGTTCAGGGGGGAGTAAATGCTTGGTAAACTGTAGATTCTCAGCAGAGCCAAATTGGAAGTGGGTGAAAGTGGGTAGCTCATTACATAGACTGGCATCCTCGGTGGGTGGGTGCTGTAGTAAATTACGATCACATTCATTCAGTCATTCAACAAACACTGAGTGCCAGGCCTTGTGCTGGAAAACAAGGTGACTAAGACCCAACCCCTGCACACAGTTGTTCGTTGACTATTAGCAGAAGCATAAGTGTTCGCAGATCAATTGCATCTTCCTGTAAAAACAAGCATACCTTTGATTCCGGGGGTACATGGGGAGGAAATGGACAGGAACCAGGAGAGTACTGAAGAATTGTGGGTCAGAACAGACAGGTGAGCATGAAATGGGTTTTGGAGACAGAGGCCTGGTTGTCACTTCTTTAATTCATTCGACAGACACGGAATACCTATTATAGGAGCTCTGGTGGCAGTCAGGTGAGCGCTGGAATGCTCACTGCAAAGTTGGCTTTTCAGCACCACCAGCAGCTCCTCAGGGGAAAGATGAGGCTATTGTGCGTGTGAAGATTTATAGCCTACGCAGGACACCCTCCGTAGGATCGCTAGGAGCTGGAATCAACTCTATGGCAGTGGGTTGGTTTTGGTTTATAGAAGCCTGGACCTCCTGGGTGGTGGAAATGATTAAAAACCTCAACTGCTAACCAAAAAGTTGGAGCCTCAAGTCTACCCCTCCCCCAAGAGGTGCCTCCAAAGCAAGGCCTGCCAATCTCCTGATAAGAAATCAACCACGGAAAACCTTATGGGTCACGGTTCTACTCCACACACAACGCCGCCTCCTTGGCAGCTGCTTTAATACATGCCTGTTATTCCTTTAGGCGTTGGGGTTACATTGGTAAATAAAACAACAATTCTGAGTTGGATAGTAAGTTATAATCATAAATAAATAGGATATTAAACAGTGAAAACAGGTTTTGGGGCTGGAAGACTGAATGTGGGAGGCTAGTTGTAATTAAAAAAAACCTGGTCAGGGAACTGCATTAAGAATAAATTGTTAGGTGTCAGGATGACCGAGTGGTCTAAGGCGCCAGACTCAAGAATAAATTGTTTAAAAAAATTGTTTCTCATATTGCATCTTTTTTTTTGAAGTGAAGCCAGCCTATAATATTTCATATTGCTTAACAAAATTCTTGAAGAAACACCAGCAAGAATGGATAAACCACAGCTCACCTCCTTTTTTTGTTTTTAAAGTTTTGTTGGAAAGTAGCCACTCTGGTGCTTTACAGAAGTTTGCTGATCTTTGCTACTTAAAGATTTGAGGCTTGATTGCCTGTCACATTTCAGAAGATTATATACAGTCTTGTATAAATTTTTAATTAAAACGTTATATTAACAAGAGAAGGGCTCTATTTCATTCTTTTGTTCTTCAGAGAGCCAGGACATGGTACACTCAGCAGTGGTAATAAGAGCTGCCATTTGCGGAATGGCTAGTGTGTACCATACTCCACACTCAGCCTATTGCAGGCATTTGCTCTAATACAAAGCCTATCAGTTTTAGTGGTGAGGGAGTTGAGGCTCAGAGTGGTTAAATAATGTTCCCAGAGTTATAAAAATAATTCTCAAAGATAATCTCACACCATTGAGATTCAACCCTCGATCTGTCCTCTTCGGTGTCTTCCATCACTCTCGCCATTTTCCAAAAATACTTGCTGACTTGAAGGCATTATGCGCCTTTTATTTTCTGCCAGCAATACCCTCTCATAATTCCGTGCTCCCTCCCACATCCCTTTGTGCATGTCACTCTGGCCAGTGTCTCCACCTGCCCACTCTGCTTTGGAAATGTTATTCTTCTTCAAGGCCTGGGAGAAACGCCCCCCTCTTCTCATCTCAGGAGGACGTTCTCCAAATTCCCTGTCCATGGCTCTCGAAACAAGTCGGTGCAGCTTGGTAAGCTTTTTCTGATGTGTTGGGCACAGGTGTATGTAGGTGTGTGCATGCGGGAGGGGAGCGGGCTAAGCTGAGGACGGTGCAGCACTGGGCAGTGTTTTGTTCGGTTGCACTCAGGGTTGATAGGCATCAGGACCACCTTGATGGCACCTAACAGTGACCCCATTTAGGAAAGTACCATTCAGACTTTACAAACATCATCTGTTGGTGGTGGACATCAAGCCTTCTGTTGTTTTGCTGGTGGGTAGCTTTAAGGACTTGTGTAAGTTTGTCACTTGAAAGTTTCTAAGTAAAGGGATGCTATCCAAGCATTCCAAGTAGTTGAGGGTTTGGTTTTTTTTCTTCCGGATGGTGGTTCCAAATACCCCTTTGAAACAAAACAAGCAATTTCCTGTGGTCTGGCCTGGCCGTCAAAATAAAGATGTTGGCCGTTTGTGTTCATTCTCAGGGTTCAGAGATGGGCAGTGAAAAGGCGCAGAAACCGGAGCAGCACCTGCCTGAGGAAGGGGAACTGGGTAAGCCGTGGAGAGCGGATGACTCGGTTGGGGAGAAGGAACCCACGCAGAAGAGGCCCCCAGGAGCTCAGCGAGAAAAGCTCTGGGGCACAGCTGCTCCAATTGGCCAGTCCGAGAGCCCCATTGCTCACCCAAAGCCTGAGGTAGATGAGAAGCCCTTTCTTTGTGCCCAGTGTGGCAAAACTTTCAATAATACCTCCAACCTAAGAACACACCAGCGGATCCACACTGGCGAGAAGCCTTACAAGTGTTCGGAATGTGGCAAGAGCTTCTCCAGAAGTTCCAACCGCATCCGGCACGAGCGGATCCACCTGGAAGAGAAGCACTACCAATGCCCCAAGTGTCAGGAGAGCTTCCGGCGGCGCTCGGACCTCACCACGCACCAGCAAGATCACCTGGGTAAGCGGCCCTACCGCTGTGACGTGTGCGGCAAGAGCTTCAGCCAGAGTGCCACGCTCGCTGTGCATCACCGCACCCACCTGGAGCCCGCGCCCTACATCTGCTGTGAGTGCGGGAAGAGCTTCAGCAACAGTTCCAGCTTTGGGGTGCACCACCGCACCCACACGGGCGAGAGGCCTTATGAGTGCACAGAGTGTGGGCGGACTTTTAGTGACATCTCCAACTTTGGGGCCCATCAGAGGACCCACAGAGGGGAGAAGCCCTACAGGTGCACTCTATGCGGGAAACATTTCTCCCGGAGCTCAAATCTCATCCGGCACCAGAAAACTCACATGGGCGAGCAGACTTTGAAAGATTCCGGTTGAAGGAGAGACCTCCCAACCTGCCGTGGAAAGTTCTTTAGGATCTGCTGCTGTTCCCCTGGGCCTAAAGCCACCCATCCCTCTTTGGAGAGTAGTTTCCTGTAGCCTCTGAATCTGGAATCTCTAAGAAGTCCTGAAAAGGGGACTCTGAGGGAAAATCTTTCTCATTCCAGGCCAGTTTCTTGCCTTAGAGTGCTGGAGGAAGGACCCCGTCTTGACTGGACCTCCTTGGTGTGGAAGAGAAATCGATCTGGTTCCGAATATGCTCATGCTCTTAGGGCAATAGCCCCCTGGCCTTTGAGGCAATCCCTTGGAGGTGGGGTCACTGTCGAAGGGCCTTCATATTATACGTGAACTGCTTGACATTAGGGCACACCGCAGTGGCTACTAGCTTCCCCCGGCTGTGCCCTCAACTTTGACTCTAGGTCTCTGGGCTGGGAAGAAGGACCTTCCCATTGGAAGGGGCCTCTTGACTTGGAGAAGAAATTTGAGGTCCTGTGTTAGGAGTTACAGGGGAGTCCTCAGGGAGCCAGGAACCAGGGACTTTCATGCTCCCACAAGTTTATTAACATGTTCCTCCCCATTCCAACCTGAGCCTGTTTCCTCTGAGATTGGCAGTAAAAACCCTTCAATGAAAAGAACTTGTGTACTCATTTGGGGGGCATTATTTGGGGAGATTGTTCTTCAGTCACTTGGGAGGGAGTCACACTCCCAGAAAGAATGAGATAGCCACTCTTAAAAGCAAAGAAAGTAGGCCGAGTCTCTAGGGGTTTTGAAAGAGGAGTGGTAGAGGAAAGGAACTAATGGAGTGTCCACTACATGATTTAATCCTACCGTTTGCTGCCACGATCTTCGTTTTCCCATCAGCTCTCAGAGGAATCAAGTGAGGGCACAGAAATGAGGGGAGTTGGAGTCACTTGCTAGGGAGCCAGGATTCAAACTTCCGGCCCTCCTTGAGTCCACGCGGACGCTCCTGACCACGTTCATCCTGCTGCGTTCTGAAGGATGGGCCACGGGGGTCTGGCATGGGAGATGCGAACCTGGTGGCGTTTTTTTTTTGTTTTTATTATTTTTTAAAAAATTATTTTATTTTATACAATTCTTATCACAGTCCATCCATCCATCCATGGTATCAAGCACATATGTACATTTGTTGCCCTCATCCTTCTCAAAACATTTGCCTTCTACTTTAGCCCTTAATATCAGTTGCTCATTTCCTGGTGGTGTTTTAATAGAACCCTGAACCTCTAGGTCTGTGGGCGGTTATTACCACATACCAGAACCAGTGCAACTTTACCTGGTGAAGGAGCTCTTACTCCAGGCATAGGAAAAACAGTAGTGCCAAGGAGATGGGCGTGAGGCATGGGAGACTATGAAAGATAGCTCAACCCATTGTGAAAGTCTCTGTCCTTAGTGACAATAATTCAGTCCCCAAGACTTGGCAGGGATTATGATGGTGTTCAGTGTTAACTCACTGTCCTGCCGACTTATCAGGTACGCCTGCCTGCCTAGGAAGGAAGGGATGTCCCAGAACACCCTACTCATCATCTTGCTGAGTCCTCACAACACTGAGGAATTACCCCCATTTGACAGATGCATAAACAGGCTGAGAGAGGTCCAAAGCGTTCCCAAGATTACCCAGTAAGGACAGCACCAGGAACTGAACTTCGAACCATATCTTTCAGCCATCGAAGACTGCCCTTATATCTATCTGGCACTTTACAGTTTACAAAGCACTTTTTATTTTTTTGGTGAATGGGAAACTTATTTGTTCTGTAAACCTTTACCACAAACCTCAATTTTTAGAAAATCTTTATTTAAATCCAATGTACATATTCTGAGAAAAATTCTCAGAAACCATATCCAAAATAGAAAGTCATCATACAAAACCCACAATAATTACCAGCAAAAAAAGTTTAACCTACAATGTCAAGGTTGATTTCACAAGAGCATTGGCGTTCATAATATTCACGACCCTACCCTCTGTAAATACCAATTGAATGACTAAATTATTCTCATAATGATTTAGTCAGATTTTATAAGGCTTGATTAGTTTTAAGAAATCTGAGATCTCAAAGATGAAAACATAATTCCTTTATAATTTTATCACTGTATTCATAGAAAGAGGAAATACAGTCAGAATGACATAAGCAAAGGATAAAGTTCATAATACACTGGCATGTCACCAAAAAAAAAAATTAAGCGGGGCTGGATCATCCATCTACTTGTTTCTGTAATGTGTATTCTAATATCAAAGCAAAGCTGTATTAATTATATGACAGTGAAATGGAAGGGGAGATCTCTTTGATCAATTCACATTTGGGGTCAATAGTATATGCAACGTGTGGGATGAAATGGAATTCCTTTCATGTCAGCCCTGTGATCACGGGCCTAGTCCCATAAGTAATAATCCAGAAGGACAGAAGTGATCTCTCCGCTCGTTTCTGCACCCTTTTCTTCAATAAGCACCAGAAGATAATCCCTGATCACTTCAACACACCAAATTGAGCATCCTCGGATTTCCACCTCTTGCTTATCCCCGTATGAGCGCATTCGCCTTTAAGAAGCTTCCTCGGTAGCTCATGTGAGTAGTTCAGGGCCACAAGATGAGCAAGCACCTGAGGTCATCTGTAGTCAGCAAACATGTGATACTTAAGGCAACCATCTCCTTTTCCTTCTCACACACCCCAGGTGTCTGCCACAAGGACCTGGGCCCGTTTATAAAAAGAAATCTGTTTTCCCTCAAAGTTCGTCACATCTCTGTAAGAAGGAAAATTCTCAACTCCCAAGTGCAGTCATTTTTGTGCATTCTTTTCTCATTTTTTTAAACACAATTAAGAAACGAGCCTCCAAACTTCTCAAGTAGAATTTTCCCGGTTTCATTGAGAATCCGATGCCTCTCTTCTATCAAAGGCATGGGAACATCTGTGTCAGATCGGAATAGACCCCAAGGTCCCCGTGGCTTATAGGAGGGACTGGTGACGGGTACCCCTTGTCGAGGGCTCGGTTGACTGCGGCGCACAGAGACCAGAACCGGCTGTACGTTTTCCCTTTGCACCCACCAGACACTTGTGCTCGTTGCTCTCCCACCAAAAGGAGAAATTCAGCGTCTCTATCAGGAACACCGTTGACCGCGGCTTCATCGGCTGCCTTGGGGTTCAGCACGTGGAGGGTCGTCCATCCCTCCACTTGCAGCTCCAGCCCACAGGCCTTCTGTAGCAGCAGCTCTGCCACACTCTGCACTCCCGCGCCGTCGATGAACACATCCTGACTGCTTTCTGCAATGAATTTTGCAGATTCTCTGGGAGTGAGGGGCTCAACCATCTTGCCTTTCCACTAAAGATCTAGAAAATCATGCCACTGACCAGGGACTGCCCAGCCTCTCCTCTCAGCGCGGAGACGCACACACTCACAAGTTCAGTAAAGATCCAGGGTTTGGGGACGCCTCGCCCCTTCTGACCTACCCATGGTGTCGCCTCCGTACCTGGGAGTGGCACTGTAATCTGAGGGCGCGGCTCGACTACCCACAAAGCACTTTCACTTCATATACATGTTCCTGCTTCTTGAGATTATCCATATAAAATATTTTAAGCCTACAAGTCACCCAAACTCACAAATGTGAGTTTGTACCTAGTAGTAATCAAAGGCACCAAACCTCAAACACCTACTGGTGCCAGTTATTGCCCATTGATTAACTATATTCTCTATATCCTGCAAGGTGACATTTCATTGTCAAGATCAAATTTGGAGAGGTTAGATGACCTGTTCAAATCGCAAAACTGAAAATCAGGGGTGTTTGATCCAATGTTGACCTCTCTTTTCGTTGTGCACACTGCCCAGTCTGTCTACTGGTCTCTTCTCTGGGTAGCTTCCTATTATCTTTCTTGAACTAGAACCTGACGAATGCATCTGCTTTATCTTGGGACATGGTTCCCAGGCCAATCTTATTCCACCCTTTTTGACCAAGCTCATAGGCCAGGGTTTCTGGGTTTGTCCAGGCTTTGAGTCCACACTAGTCCACTTACTTACTCAATGTGTTAGTCTGGGTTGACTAGAGAAACAAATCCAGAGGCACTCAACTATGTATAAGAAAGCTTTATCTACAAGAACAATTGAATCTTGAGAAAACAGCCCTGCCTAGTCCAGATCAAGTCAATGAGTCTGATATTAGCCCATATGTCTGATACCAGTCTGTAAAGTCCTCTTCAGACTCACGAAACACATGCAATGATGCTGAATTCAGGAAGATCACAAGCCAGTAGGTGGGAAGTCTTGTGGAAGCATCTCAGTGCTGGCAGGGGTCTCCACGTGGCTCCTTCACTTCCAGGGTTCTAGCGTAGCCCCATGTGTTTTCTCAACAGAAATGTCTCGCAGGGAGTGTGTGTGGCTATCAACATGCAACCTGACTTGCAGGCTAAACTCCACCCTTTTTAAGAGGCTCAAGATAACAAGAGATTATGTAACTACCACACTTAATTTCTAGTTGGCTTGTGTGTTTCTGTTTTAATTATTATTTTCTCTTTCTTCCCTCCCTCATAGTACTGACATGAAGAAGATATTGCTCCTGTATTGCGTGTGGGAGATTGGCACGTAAACTGCAAGTTACAGTGTAATTGTCATTACAGTTGTATGCAGGTTGCTTACTGTAAAAGACTAGGAGAGAGCCCACAAATAAATAAGATGTGTCCTCTTACAAGGAACTCATAGTAAAAGAAAAAAAAAAAGGAACTCATAGTGGACAAGAAACTCCCTTGTGAAAAAGCTGCTAGAGGAACACTGGTGGGGCGGCTAACTCTTTGGAGAGGAGGGGGAATCTAATATTTGAATTTGATCTTGAACAATTCGTGGTTGCTTACTAGGTAAAGAGAGAGATGGAAGGCAAAACTTAATCTCCCAGGAAACAGTGAAACATTAGATGGACAGTGTCCTGTGCTATGTGGGAGGAGACGAAGCTGGTAAGGTGATGGTCAAGATCAAGAGGAATGTTGTTTGGACGATAGAGCATTTAAAGCAGGAGAGTGACATGGTATAATAAGTCACCTTTGAAAACGAATACTTGGGTTATAATGGAGGATAAATTCAAGGGGCTAAAGTAAGGAGAATGCTATAGACATAAGATACATACAAGTTGGGACCTGCTTAACTCACAGATATGAATGTGCTTCATTGGTTTGCTTCTCTAGAGAACTCGACTAAGACAGCAAGACTCTCTGAGGCAGTCACACACAGCTCTCTAGAGAATTTAAAGCAGAAGAGTGATATCATCCATCCTTCAAAGAGAAGACACGCATGCACACATATCTTTGAGCTTATATCCATACATATACAAGGGGGATTCAAAAAGTTTATTTAGAAATTCCATTAATTTGAGTTCCATTTTTCCATAAACCTTTGAGGCCTCCTCACATATATGTATACACAGAGAAAAAGAGATGAGATTTATTTCAAGGAAACCACTCACAAGGTTGGGAGGCTGATGAGTCCCAAATCCATGTGGGGCAGGCAACAGGGGTTATAGGGGTTATAGGACCTTCAATTGGCAGGTCAGGATAATGGGGTGCTGGCTCTGGGCCTGCAAGAGCAGCTGAGTTCCAGAATTGGCTTGGCAGGCAACAGGCTGCCAGCCCTAGTCCCC